TTTACTATGCTAATGGACGTGCGTTCATATATTTATACTATTAATACAATTGAGTCTGAACAACCAAATGAATTTCACTGTAATTTTAAATTTTTAAATCTGAAAATATTTGAGAATACTGCCCTATTTGTCCTCTTTGTTTAGCAATTTAAAAAAACGCTGACTCATAAAAATCAATCATATGAAAATGAATGGAAGTTGAGACCGCCCCTACTGAAAATGAAAGACTGGAAAATTTTTCTTCTTTCAATGAAGGAAACTCTTTTGCTTAAACTTTTTCGAAGGCGAAGGCAAAACAGTCGATTTCGCCACGGCAACAATGGTTGGACGCGACGCGTGGATATTCCCCCGAAATAGGGGATCGGCTTTTGTTTTCCAGAAACGCTAGCGACAATGTATTTTCCAAGAGAGTCGAATGTAAGGACCACTGAAGGACGCTCGGTCTACGATACATTTATGACAGAGTTTTGGGGTGCATGTGGCCTAAAGAGCGAATGAGACTAAACAGGCCTGGCAACGGGTGACGCGATAGCGGACGGCCGCGTTGGGTCTCCAGGTAGCGCGTGTCGAGGCATTGATTGTTTATGAATAGAGAGAGAGTAGTTAAAAGAGGCAGACGACCTGACGTCGTACTGCTGGAAAAAAAGAAGACTTTGTCCTGAAGGATCTGGCCACGGAGTGGGGAAGGCGTGGGACCTTCCGGTAAGAGCACTGTGAGGAACGGCACAGGACTTACCCCAGAACCGTCAAAGGCAAAATTTCTAACATACAGGCATGTCTCTATAAATTTCAAATCCATTAATCAATATGAATTTGTGATATCATGTCAGCCAATTTCGAAAATATGGTTTCGAGAAAAACTCATTTAAAATTTCTGGTATGATTATTAACCGTTTGGGTACTCTTCCCTCTAAATGGCTATAACTTTGTTATTTTTACGAATTTTAATGAGTCTACGTTTATTATAATTGCTAAATGAAGAGGACGAGTTCCGAGTCAAAGATCAGTTGCGGGGTTTTAAAAAAGGACAGTTTTGCAGTTTTGTTCTCATTAATGTTTGCAGCGTGTTTGCGAGGGATGTGTCCGATATATACATATGTATATAATCAATTCATTTTCCTTCAATAATTCTCCATTGCAAAAATTCTACAGTATTCTTACATTTTTTTATATTTTAAAATTTTCCCATGTTATTAGAAAGTAGATATACGACGAAAGTTATACAACTTATAGTTCCTAGCATGTATAACATGTATATGTATATAACGCATGGTCGCTTCGTATGGAAAGTCAATGAATCTTCAAAAAGCGCCCAGGTCCGATTTCGAGAAATGTAAGGTCTGTCAGTCACGATGGCTTTTGTCGTTTACTGACGATTCGAACGGGTGGCGATGCCAGCAGGCTTGCTTTCGAGAAATGTAAGCGACGTCAGCGATGCAAGAGCGAGAAGGAAAGCGAGTATCAGCCTGTTCTTCTCGGCTCTTCCGAAACTCAACGAGCTCACGTACACGCAATTGGGCATAGTGTGCGAAAGTGAGGAATGAGAAGTTTCCGGGGCCCCGATGCACAGTCTGATTAAACTGATTTCGAGTCGCAAATACGTTTCTGCCGAGTTATTTTTTTAATAAATTATGTATTACAATTTAAAATAAAAAATAGAGAATTTGCGGTGTTCGTATCAATGAAATACATCCTTAGGAATTTTAATAATCTTGAAATTTTTAAATACTCTTAATCGATTGATTTCTCCAATGAAATTAATCGATTAATGTCCAATGATGGACCCTACAGCTTTAATTCCGTTAAAAAATAATAAAATTTATGTAATTTTATTTTCTGTCTCACTTCCTCTTGTGTTCATTTCTGAATCTGTTGATAACGTTGCGAGTGACACGAAAATGGTAATGGGGTCCCGGGACCCCAGAAACTCCGGCCGAAAAATTACATTAGATGAAAGGTCTATTCATATACCTCGTCTGTGCCACTAGCACTCGCCTGCCGCAACCGTCCGCGCGAACGCAGCTGTTTAGCGGATTGTCATTCTACAGGCGGAACTTTAAATGTTAATAACTTTGCAACGAAGCCTCCATCAACAAATTAGTATTCTTGATTTTCGTCTTATTTTGGCCTCTACTATCGCTCATTAAAATTTTTGCTATAGGTAGCCGAACTCCCTGTATACTATACAAAAATTTTAATGAGCGATAGTAGAGGCCAAAATAAGACGAAAATCAAGAATACTAATTTGTTGATGGAAGCTTCGTTAAAAAGTTATTAACAATTAAATTCAAAAATTTCAAATCGTTCTGGAAAAATTATTTTCGGTTGCGGGGGTCAACTACAATCATTTTTGGTGAGTACACATACCTCCGAAATCCTATCTACTTTCGAGAAAAAAAATCGAGTAGGTGCTGAAATTTTTCGGCGAAAAAAAATTTTTCAAATTGTTTTAAAAAAATTATTTTCGGTTGCGGGGTCAATTACAATCAGTTTTTGTAATTAGACATACCCACGAAATCCTGCCCACTTTCGAGAAAAAAAATAGAGAAGGTGTGAAATTATTCGAGAAAATTAAAAAATTGCAAGTCGTTGTGGAAAAATTATTTTCGGTTGTAGGGTTCAATTACAGTCATTTTTGGTGAATAGACATACCCCCGAAATCTTGCGCATTTTCGAGAAAAAAATTCAGTAAGAGCGGCACTTTAAACGTTAATAACTTTTTAACGAAGCTTCCACCAACAAATTAGTATTCTTGATTTTTGACTTATTTTGGCCTCTACTATCGCTCATTAAAATTTTTGCTAGAGGTGGCCGAACACCCTGTATAGCTAGGAAATACCAAAAATTTGCAAATTAAAATGTGCTTTTGATGTAACTACGTATTTACATAGTCACCACTATAGGCGGTAGTCAAATTATTATGATCACTTTTAAATTATCACTTATTTGAAACATGAACAAAAATGAAATTGAAAGCACATTTAAAATAAAACCGTTTTCGTTATAGAAAATATTGTTATGGCTTTAACAATACATAACAAGGATTTTAAATCTTCTAGAAATTATTAAAATTGTTTAAAACACGTAGCTACAAAAGTATTCGTCCATCCCATGAGTATAACGTATTTTATCTTTGTTAATATTAAATTAAAAATTTTCTATTCTAAGATAATATATAGCAAATGAATAGCGTCAGTACAAAATGACAGCTTATATGTTAAGAACGAAAAAAGATATATTTTAATACTGTAGAAATTGTAACACTACTGAAAACTATCGATTATAATAATTCGATTACCCACTGTATACACAGTTTGAGAATGGTTAAACATTGAACTTCCCTCAAGCATTAGGTTCGATGTTCGATAATATTTTTGTACCAAATTACGTTCGCCGCTCGGAGCAAAGTTGTACGGTGAAAGTAACTTTAAGCTCGAGACGATCGACACAAAATATTAAAAAAGCACAAGTGCGGTTCAATCAGGTTTTCCAAAAATCATCATGAAAATTTACGCATTATTCTCGTAGTCGTTGCTGATTTTATCGCACGGCGAATAATTTTGTGAACGTCGCGTTTGAAAGGCTCGAAAAATTGGCTTGCTAATGTTCGTCGTCTACCGTTTTAAGGGACAAACGCTGGAATCCGGTGCAATGATTAAGTGTTTCTCGTCGTTGAATCGGGACGACAACATGAGATGGTCGAGGAGCTGATTAAAAATGATCGCGGGTAAAAAGTGACGAGCAGACGAACTGATGATGAACGAGGAACGAGCAAATACTTTGCAGACATGGGTAGTTTGCTGTCTGAGGTGACTTACCCCTGGACAGTGTCATGCCTAGAGTACGGAATCGCAAGGTAATTGTTGATGTTTCTCCATATTCTTTACTTGGCCCGACTTGCATGCTGTCCTATCGGTAGCGGCACAACACATAAGACATTTGTATACATACAAATAAATATATATATATATATATATATATATATATATATATATATGTAAAATAATAGGCATTTAAATATTAAGATGACGTACAGCTAGCAGAAATCGTTTGCTCTCTAGACATTACCTACCGCGCACATAACACGTCTACTTTAAATTAGACGTGATCTCTTTCACGTACATTTTCTCGCTAGTTTCCTTGTGTGCAAAATTTTGTGAACAGAAGGTTACTCGAGGAATTTTTTTAATTACTTTCGTACCAATTTAATGGTCAATTTGACCGCTTGATAAACATCTTCATCGATAATGTGCTCGTGTTTTCTTCCGTTTATCTTTCGTCTAGACACGACAGGAATCCTTGAATCGTTTAGATTATTTTCTTTCAAGACATTTTAATTTATAACATTTCAACTCATCTCTGAAACTCTTCTATCGTAAGTTTGTAATTATTTTGTACATTGAAGGTGTTAAACAAGATTAAATCTTTAGAAAATTATCGTTTTAATGAGAATAAACGTAGCTACGAATTAGTTTACAAGATGCAAGAATTCCTACAGGTCTATGCTTCTTTTTATCAACGTGTGCACAATGAACTTTCTATCAAACAGATTGATTTGCTGCATTCTGATTTGTTTCAACCCTGTACCATTAGACACAGAAAAAAATATATAACTTAATGGCGAGAAGAATCAGCTACAAAGGCGAACGCTATAAAAAAATTAACGTCATACATGAATAATACTGTCAGGTATACCTACGGCTAAGAAGAAAATTAATTTATACATCGATACGAAAATCATAATAAAAAAATGTTCTTATCTCGTGAATATTATCTAAGCAGTTTTGCTAATGCAACCTTGCATTTCACAAAATTCTGATCTTTTTGCAAGTTAACGCTTCGCTTGTTTAGTCGCGTTTCAATCGAGCGTGTATCCAATTTTCCATTAATGGTACGCAATTAAATAACAAAAGTACACGAAAACTCGCCAAAGGAGAAGGGGAGACACGTGGCTTGGACAGAATAATTTATGCGAATCGTTTAATGAACTGAGTACTCACCTGCGAAGCACCAGCGTCCGGTCGCGCGGGCAAATATTAGTAGGAAAACGACGAGAACTAGCACCAGGGCCCCGACGACAATGCCAATGATGGAACCAGCGTCTAAATCAACGCCTGAAATTTCGTAGAAAACAATTTTGAAACTTCGAAGCTCAACAAGAATATTTACGTCGTCTTATCTAAACAATACAGATTTACTTAATCCCTTTTTGTTTTATAACAAAACATTTACCACGTAATCTTGTTTGTTCTCAAAGATACGTGTTATTTTATTGTATCGAAAAAATAAACGCAGAAAAGTTTTGATTCGTAATATTAAACAGTACATTGAACACAAAATGCATGTAAAAAAAAATTCGTTTGTTGCACATTTAATTAGAAGATTAACATCATACTTCGAATGCAACTGTATCGTGCGGCAGCAGCTTCAATACGATTAAATTCAAGTTTCTGTAATTTGTAAAAATTAGTAGAAGCCATATTTAGCAAAGCTTAAACATTTTCAAGAGACTATGATAAATACTGAACAAAATCGTTGCATGATTGCGTTTTGTACATTCATATTGTATAGAACGGTTAATAAAGAATTGCATAGCAAGCATAAATATTTCCGCACAGTAAAGAAAATATGTTTGAAAAGAGTCAACAAGCGTTCGAAAGCCTTTTGCAATTATACACGATCGAAACGTGAATAATATGAATTCTGATGCAAAAAATGTGCAAAGAAATTAATGTCGCGAAACTGTGTTTAATATCGAATAAGCGTCAATTCATATAGAGGCATCGCATAGAGATTTATTCTGATGAAAAATATAGATCTGCCATTTATGGTTCCAGTGACACGAATAATAACGTAACGTTACACATACGCATGTTTAATAGCGTGGAGTTCCATTCGCACGATTTTCAAAAATAAATGACACTAAAAGATATGCAAAATATTAAATATTTTTCGTTTACAATATAAATGAGTATAAAGGATCACATAACTACATTACTTTGATAATTCCATAAATAATGATATTAACAATATTTGGTTTAGAAATTATTTTCATCGTTTGTATAAAACACAGATAAGATAGTTCTTTTAATTTAAAGTACAATAATTTGAGGTGAATTTTCCATCGTTGCGTTCCAGTTGGTCAAAACATAAATTCGATGTTAACATCTTTTCCCCCATTATATTTCACTGAATTTATCCAGGAAATATCGTTGATGAAAGTTTCAGGCAGTGAGAAAGGGCTTTGAAACAAGCCTGACGATGAAAAATTCAGCCTCAATCGCGTCATCTGAATTATAGATGACACGGTAACCCATCATTTCCGGTTCTATGGAACTCTGGAACTCCACGCCCAGACAAACTACATCGACTACTTACGTATAATAATTTGAAAGAATGACATTACCTAGTGCGTGCATGTGTTCGGAGAGCTTACCATAGAAGTAACTGAACGCCCCTGCGTGAGAGCATGCGGTGAAGGATCGATATCGTTAGAAACACAGAGCACATGTACACGGAACACACAGAAATAATCTAATTCACATTTTTGGTGAAACCGAAAACGTAATGATGACTGACAGTACGTGAAGGTGACAATGAACGTGACGTAGATCGATTGACAGCGTGTGAGTATACTCGACTGAATGGAGTGGAAATGAACACGAAGTGCGAGAACTAACAGCATGATCGACAGCTACCAGTGAATTAAAATCATTTTTATTATCACCCATTCCTCTCGTGGTATCGTTAATATTTGCTACTGATCTGACGTTTGGTTAAAAAAAAATACTTCATTTTCCACTTATTCCTTTCCTTTGCAACCCTTAATCGGTATAGTCGTCTTCATTTTATTTTCATCTCAACGAATAATAAGTCAAGGCACGCGTCATTTGTCGTTTAACACGTTCACGCCGGCGCCGATATTCAGGGTTTTCTCTGTGAGGCGGCGCCCGAATGCACGGTTTGCTTCTTCGGGCGGCGCAGCGCGCTAGATTACACTGTTCAACATGATTTTTGTGCGGTAATATAATATTGAATTGTTCTGTTAATTTTATTGAATTTAAGTTATATTTATAATATAGTATTATTATTTTGATGTTATTAAATTACAGTTATATTTATAATATTTTATTAATTATAATAGTCATTAAAAATAAATGTTTTCAATGAATATACGTTAAATTTTCATTATTTTAATTTTCAACTATTTGGAAATTATTTCTACTTCCTTATAGACCTAAATGTTTGGTGTTACGCGTCGCCTAATAGCACAATCAAATGTGTACCACCGATGGTACGCGTCGCCCGATGAAGAAGTCTTGTGTGAGCCACCGGTGGTACGCGCCGCCCGATGAGGCAGTCTTGTGTGAGCCACCGGTGGTACGCGCCGGCGTGAACGTGTTAAGAGTTGAGGTTCTTTTACGTTCTGCTTCAAAAAATATTTTTTCTAATTTTTCGAACTTTAACGCCACGTAAATTTCGTCGTGTTCTCTAGGCTACTCTGGTGCAGAGTGTGAACAAGTGATATCGCAATACTTTTGGCACGAACGTTTTGACAATTTTACCTGCTGGCTCTGTGGAGGTCGACAAAACGATACGGTATTCATAAGCTCCTTCGTGGTTGTGAGCTTCCAGGATATACTCCTTTTCCGTGTCGGATTTCTGAACGCTGTCGATCGTGAGAATCACGCTCCACGCTCCTCTTCCCTGTAACAATAACATTCATCGTATCTATAGTGTAAGTTGCGGCAATGTTGAAATTATTGGGTCACGGCGGGAGAAGTATAAAAATATTGATTCTGAATTAATAATAAAATTGTTTATTATTCCTGCTGTGATTGCACAGAACAGATATAGTGAAGCGTAGTATATCCTTTCACGGCGAGGAATTTTACAATAACGTCGTATTCGTTTTTTTTTTCTTTTTGGGCGCGTGCAGTATTTTGGGTTTCTCCCTATGACCTGCAATTAATATGTTTAGTTAGTGTTTGTTTGTGGTTGTGTTGTGTGCTGTTTTATCTGGATAGATTACATGTTTGGAATTAGAGGGGAAATTTTCAAAAATATTTTTAACTTGCATCTTGCGATGTGTGTGATAAAATTTGAGTCAGCTAAGTGATAGTTAATTTAAGGGTTTTTACGTGTATTGTGAGGAGATATCTTCTAGTTTGTAGTTCCCTAGTGAGATTATTAGGGAATTATGGGTGGTTGAGGTTAGAGTTAAGTGTTTTTGTGGTTATCTTGTTTATGTATTCTGAGATGTATTTCTATTATTGCCTCAGCGTGTAGGGAAGCCATGGTGTGGCATTTGTGTTTGTTGAGTATTATTCGGAGGTATTTATTCTGTATGACCTGTATTTTGCGGAGGTAAGATTTGGGTGCGATGCACCAGACTTGTGCTCCGTATGTTATTATGGATCTGACGCAGGTTTTGTATAGGCGAATCTTTGTTTCTAGAGAGAGTAGGCTGTATTTGGCAATCAACAGGTATAATATGCGGAGGACGCTAATGCCTTTGTAGGCTCTATTCTGAATGTTAGGGAGCCAGATCAGTTTTTTGTCGAACCATATGCTCAGATATTTTACTTTGGTTGCCCATTGGATGGGGTGGCTGTTTACCAGGATGTTGGTTGGGTTGGGGGATCCGTTTCTAATAAAAAAGGATAGTCTCGGTTTTTGTGGGATTTAGGGTTAGTTTCCATGTGTTGGTGAATTCAGAAATTTGGTCTAGGTGAGTTTGAGTATACTTTATTGTTTGATTTGGAATCCATGAGGATGCATATATGGCTGTGTCGTCCGCATAGAGGGCAATTTTGGTGTTTGGGTTTTTGGGGATGTCATTGACAAAGAGGTCCAATAATACTGGGCCTAGGACTGAGCCTTGGGAGACCCCTGTGTGTATTGGTTTGTATGTGGACAGGGAGCCATTGTGGGATACTGTGATTTTCCTGTCCGTGAGGAAGCTCTGAATTACTTTGATGGTGTGCAAGGATAGGTTGCTTCTGTGAAGTTTCAGGAGAAGGTCATTGTGCCATAAGGTGTCAAAAGCTTTCTGGATGTCTAGTAGTACTAGTATAGTCCGGGCCACGATATAGCGAGGTCGTAAATCAAACTCTTGTGGGTTGGGACCGACTACTGTTGCGGCACTTAGGGCCGTACGTGACATTTTGCTTGAGAGTGTCTTTCTAAATGTCTTTCTGTGTCCGTAACTGCACTACCTTTTTTCATTTTCTACATACATATATTATAAGCAGGTAAATTAAGATATTAAAGACTTGAGTAAGACCTTTACCTGTTATGATACCACTAAAAATGGCTTTCTAAAAATGGCGACACTAGATAAAACATTTTTTTATACGGCCCTGACTATGGTCTAAGGCCCTTAGCTGCTCGTATTTCTGTAAATTCACTTGTTTCGAAAGCTGAAACGTGTAAACTTTGACACCTACTCGAGTTTACGACCTCGCTATATTGTGGCCCGGACTATACCAACTTTTGCATTCTCTTGCGACAGAAAGGAACATTAGCATTCATCGATTTCATTTAAATTGCAAATTGCTGTATATAAATTGTAACATAAACAAAACGAAACAACATTTTCTATACAAGGTATTATCTTTCCTCGTGTTCGTGAAAAGTGTATCATAATAGAATAGTATTACTGGTTACAAACATGGTTTTTCGTTTTATAGTTTCTATAAAAAACTATAATTAGTTTTTATTTGATTTAAATTCAAAAGCTCTACAATTTCTTCTGCTACGATCGTCGGATTTGAACTTTGGTGGCAACAACAAAATCTGACAGCTATTTCGAAGTGTATAATTTAACACTTGGTTGAAAAATAAGTAAAGAGCTTAGGAACTCATTTGTGGACCAATATTACAACGCATAAGTGCAAAGGGTTATTACATTTGACTTTGCGTTTTTGAATGTTTCAACCGTATTGTAGGAACTTTTAGTAATGTTATTTCGTAAATTACATTCCGGTTGACAAACGTGAGCATTATTTGTTCGATGCGGAAACTTGACACTAGCCTCGACAAAAAGTTTCCCTTCCAATAGAAACGGCTGAATTCTGGTTTCCGGTAAATGCTCACAAAGATCAACGACGTTTTGCGTGCCGCATGCGATGCAACTGTCGAGAAGAAAAATCGTCGGTGCGTTCCATTGTCCGTCGCGCGCGTCCGTGGTACGCCTCTACGCAAAGGGAACGCAACTCATTCGAAGATCGTAATTGCGTTTTCATTGAAAACTGATTTGCATTCGTCGACGGCACTCGACTGCAGTTTTTAGTCAGCAACCGTGGTCCGTTTGAAAGCCATTCATGCTACGATCAGCAAGCGATTTCGAATGGAAACCTTTATTGGTTTCTTCTGCAACAACGTTGTTAGAAACTCGGACGATTGTTCCAGCTTACTACTGTCTCGCAAGCCACGGATAGCGGGGGAAACGATTAGCTAATTTTTATCATGAAACACCTGATCATCAAGATACTCTTATAAGATACTCTAGACACTTAGGCATTTAGAAGATAACTTTTAGACTTCGACAGCTACAACTTATTGGAGATATTTCTTCTTATGTATACAATCCTCGACCAACTTCCCAATATCTCAGTCGTCTAAGGCACGGCCTGCTAGAAAGCCTTACTGATAAGTCCACTAGCAACCCCAGACGAAACGCGTCCCCTCCTTTTCTTTTCTGACATCCTACAATTGTCACGAGTTCCTAACCGCAGCAAAGCAGCGCCATAAGTACTACTTCGTTTGCTCCGCCTATCTCCCACTCTCGTCGTACGACGCGTCGTGGTTCCGGCAAATCGCCAAACTCTAAACTAGAGTGGGGAACAAATCAGACCCGCATTCCTTTCACTAGACAACTTCTAGTGGGCGCACAGTACAATTTCTTGTATAATCGAAATGAAGAAATCGACGCAGCATATCCATCATGTAATATTGTGGATACTGTAAATGATATACTATGTCACGTTATCGATGAAGGTGTAGTAGCAGAACGTATAATTTGAAATTGGTTTGCAGAGTGTCGTTTTAAAGACACTTGTCTTCAAGATGTTGATTCAATGTTTTCTAGTGAAATAAAACAAGCGTCGAACAAACAAAGAATTAGCAGATAAAATGAAAATATAGTAGTCTTCTCAATCTATGCTCTTTTGGTAGTTCTTTTACACTTTTACTTGAAAAGTAACAATTATTTTCAAGATTGAATATGTTAATGCACAAACATATTATGTTTCTTATTTATTTAACTGCGTGGGTAATTGAATTTTTAAATTACGAGAAGAATTTTAAAAACAGATAGAAACGTTTATTCGAGTTGGTAATAGTTACTAGTCGTGTTATCATTTTATAATAAATAATACAAGAACTCTGAAGGCACAGTTATGTCACTAATAAAAATACTCTTTAAAACCATTCCTCTAAAATTCGTCATTATTTGCTAAAACCAGCAGATAGATCGAACGTTTGATTGCGATAAATAATAATTATTACATTTTATCACTTGATCAATTAATTTAATTTTTAATTATTAGTAGTCGCGCAGTTAGGTCGCTCGATTTAACAGCTGAAAAAGATTTTTCTCTGAAACCTTTTGCTCGCCAAACGAGCCAACTTTCGAAACGATACCGATAATCGAATTATTTCAAGCGATTGCCTTTACCAGTTTGTAGCGTTTGAATCCGAAGGAATTTCATTAAATCTCTTTGATTAGCGAGAAACTTTCGAGTCACGTTAATGTGTAAAAAATGCTAAATACACCGTGCAAATCGATGTTCCGGAATGCAAAACGATTGTTCCATTACCGTAACTTTTGTTTCTTTTTATTTTTCATTCGTGTCTCATAGCGGTCTCCTGTATTTGAATTTCCTATTTAATTTTTCTCTTTGTTGTTTTCCTCGTATTGAGTTTTCTCATTTTTTTTAAACTGTTCATATTCAAAACACATTCGATTTTTGCACCAAACAAAGAAATTACATATTCAAAAAAAAGTTCTTATCGTGATTTTACATCTCGTTTCTTTTTATATTTAAATATTCTGAAAAGAACTACAGCTTGCCTCTGTATTTTATAAATGCAAGTTGATATTTTAGGATCAGGTTTTATAATAGTGCCCCATTACAATATTCTTCGCAACATTACTTTCAATTACCTTTAAATTATTGCGTAAACTTATCGTTGAATGTGCATTGCAAATAATTATACAGGGTGTTCGGTTACCCTTGGGAAAAATTTTAATGGGAGATTCTAAAGACCAAAATAGGACGACAATCAAGTATACCAATTTGTTGATGAAGGCTTTGTTAAAAAGTTACTAACGTTTAAAGTTCCGCCCGTATTGAATTTTTTTCTCGGAAATGCGCAGGATTTCGGTGGTATGTCTATTCATAAAAAATGATAGTAATTGGCCCCCGCAATCGCAAATAATTTTTTCCGAATGATTTGAAATTTTTTAATTTAATTTTTTAATAACTTTTTAACGAAACCTCAGTCAAGAAATTAATATTCATGATTTTCGTTTTATTTTGGCCTCTAGAATCTGCCATTAAAATTTTTTCCAGGGAAGGTCGAATACCTTGTATAATAATTTTTAAAATTTAATTATAGATCTGAGATCTAAGTACAAGAAACTGTGAAGGAAATTAAATGAATTTACCAGATCGACGGCGGTCGAAGTTTCGAGTCGGTTGCTGTCGTCGGGAAAGCCCTCGTTGATCTTTTCATCGTTCACTCGCCACAGAAAGCGTGGTTTAGGGTTCGCATAAACGGTTACGTTCACGATGCCCTGACGTCCAATTACGTATCCAAAACGTTCGATGGTTGGCTGCGGTTGCGGAGGATCTGTAAACAATAATCAACATTCAACGATCCTATTTCACAAATATGTACGCAAGAACCGTTGTCTCGAATTTCGTTTCGAATAACGATCGAATTTCCACGAACGTATCGATGAGTAAACAAAGAATACAAATTTAGATGCGTCATTGACATATTGACAAATACTTAAACGTACGTAAATTAATTGCATTTTTTAAATACAAGCATTGCAAAACATTGCATTCTTTTAGATACATTTGTATGCAAGTACTGAACAATTTTCTCAAGTAAAATTCTTTCTCGACCATCTAATTTTACTTATTTTGTTTTATACGTTAATTAAGATACTAAAGGTTAGTGGTCGTATAAAAAATATTTCACCATCTCCACTTTTGCACAGATTTAGGTATTTAAATGTATAATATATCGAAGATTCCAAATTTTATATTAATGAAAACTTTGTTGCTTACAGTATACTATCAATTGCATAGTGGTTTCCTTAGGTTTGTCCAGAGCGATATGACTGGCTACGCAACGAAGGACTTTGCCATTGTCGGTCCAATCCAGGCTTCGTGTCGCATTTTGCACGGCCAATGAGATGTCGTCCATGCTTGTGTCGTAAATCGTGGGTCTCTCTTCGTTACCAATGGGTTCGTCATCTGATTATTCCAAAAAAATAAAAAATAAACATACGTACAAGTCCGACATTATTCGAATTAAATATAACAGTTTGCTATTGTGTGACGTTAATTACCAAGAAATAACGAAACGTTCGCTGCCGGTCGTCCAGATGGTGCGATGCAACTTACTTCCAGTTTCTCTCCTTTTCTGTAGGTATTTGTGCCGTATGAACCAGGACTCGTGTGAAGTTCAGGACTGTTCGGCGGTTCTGTAAATGAAATTCGTGGCTTTCATTCGTTTCGTTGTGTTGGTAATAACAAACAATTCAAAATTAATCCTGTTCTTCATCTTCAACACTATTTATTATAAATACAAACTTTTTTTGATCTAGCACTTTTGGGATATGTTATTTAGAAAAATAACGAATAAATAAACACTTACATACGTAATATGATACTAAGTAATAGTTAATTTCTAATTTTGAAAGGATTATAATTTAAAAAAAAAATTTTTAAATGTAAGCGTTCGCTGTGGTAGAAGAATGTTTCATTAAATTATTCATCAAATTACAATCCATTAATTTCCCCCATCGATCGAATATGCAAATACTCATTTAAATTTGGCTGAAACATCTCCAACCCTCGATCATTCTGTGCTACCGTCATTTATCTTTATCGACTTTATCCGAAACAGTAATATCCTTTCGCGCTCTCTTATTTCTCATCCCGTAAGCAGTTTTCTTAACGAAGATTAATTAGTTCTCGAATTCGCTTACTCGGTGTTCCGTAATATTTCTCCCGTTACGATGAAATACTTCCCTTGGACAACCAAATTTATTTAGAAATTCTTTTTTTAATTTAGAAAGTCAAGCGTGAAATGTTTAACGATCGATTACATGTTCAGTATTGACGTTAAACTCTTTAGTAATAACAGAACATTATTATTAAAGTAAAATAAAATAAGAGTAAACAATAAGACTGTTATTAAGCAGCACTATCTTCAAAATAATTATTTCCAACACCGAGTAAATTGCACTATTTTATTCATATTGTAATAGATATGTTTTTAATATAGTTTATGATTAAAAAGAAAATAAATTCTCTTTTCTTCCGGCGTAGGAGTTCTGATAAAATAGACCTCATTACGGTTAAACGCTGGAATGCTGACGCGAAGTTTTGTTCGTAGAATAATATGGGAATTTAAATTTTATTTTCGAAGTTGTAAAATGTAAAAAGGTATATAGGCCAACATCGCAAATCTGGCACTGGTATTGCGATTCGCTCCTGATTTTCCCGAGTTTTTCCGCGAGGAGGCTACTTTCGCGCGGTACCTGGGTCTGGTCATAAAACGTCTGGCACCGGTCGTTGATGTTATTGCAGGTAGTAAAGTCATAGAGCAACTGGATTTGGAGGGCCATGCAGATTTTAAGTGAATTTACTAATTAAATAGCCGCCTTAGGGGCACTAGGTTATAGGCAAAAATCCGCTGGTTTTATGAATTTACTGTTACGCTGCAAAAGTATTAATACGATTTATTACGAGCAAATAATAGATTCTATTCGGAAAGATATACCCAGGAGGAAACGTTCTTACAATCAAATAAATTTAGAGTCAAGAAGAGTCCTCGAGATCTTCTGTAATTCGAAAAACAGAAGGTGGTTGGTTATTTTATGTCCTACCTCCTTGGAGAATTTGAGCTTCGTAACTACAATCAACGCCAGTTCTAAAATTAGATAGCCAGGGAAGAGAAAATATCATGTATACCAGTTTCGATAAAAAAAATAGGACAATTCATAAAGTGAAAACTTTATGGAAATCAACATAAACATCTACTTGGATACGAACCTTGTTTTTTACTAAGCCCATGGATATTTAACGTGTTTAAAACATGTTGAAAAAATTCAGGCATGATCTTTGACACCTGAAGAATGTATTACAATGATAATATTAAGAATGAAAGACGTTTATGGCCAATGAGACCATAAAAATTATGAGGCTCCGCTCAACCATTCTGAAAACTGGTCTACTTTCCCTCAGACTCGCCATCCCTTTTCGTAACTTATCGCTTGCATTTTCCATTCTTAGGTCTGCCTTGCATACAAGTCGCCGTGTTTCTTTCGTGTAGCTTCACTAAATACCTAATATCTGACTAACCGATTCTTCTCTTGTAATTTTGATTCCTTGTGGCAGATATTCACAGGTTCTCACACACGTTATAACTATTTATATCTACATATGTCGGAGAAACCGTTTCATTGATAATTTCCTAGGGCGACTTGTATTAGGTCCTCTCGGGCGACCAAGCCTCTGTCTCGTTATTCTATGCATTTCTTTTTTTCTTAAATCTTTGAACTAAATAAACTAATAATTGTTAACTATCCCACAAACACTTTAACAACACGAAAGAATGTACAACGTTAACCGATGTGTCCTTTGCATGAATTCTGTTTTTAATTTTCCCGCACGTCCTTACAGTCCGGAAGCCCTTTTAAGTCCTCTGACACCCTCGATATTTCAATAACTATTGACGATACGAAAAAATTGTTTATATGTAAATTGCAGGATAAAATGGGATCTCTATTTTGGCATAAACGGAAATTTTTTTTATGTTATTAATTTAAAAAATATGATGGTGGAGTTTCGTTTTTTAAATGGAACTATATATTTTCTTTGGATCAAACGATAGTGCTTTTCAAGACGAATTCATTAAGCTGCAATTTATTCACCCGATTTTTATTAGTTTTCAAGATATAACGCTTAAAAATTTACTGATTTTCAGCGAAGACGTCTCGGCTCGAGTGGTAAGTCATAAAAGCGGTTCCATTTAAAAAACGAAACTTCACCATCATATCTTTTAAATTAATAACATAAACATAATTTCGTTTACGCTAAAAGATCCCATTTTATCCTGCAATTTACGTATAAACACTTTAGCGTGGACACCCTGTATATTTGAGAATGTAAATCTGTGACTAAAACGTAGTTAAATAAACTGCAAAAAAAATTTTACCGTAGACGTTAGCATTCGCTTTAAAATAATTCATGAAAACTGTTAAATTTCGCAACTTCCTTAAATTGAATTGCAATGCCTGTGAAATATTAAATTCTATGCTAAATATCAATGTTATTCAGCTCGGAAGTTTAGAACGTATTTTTCCATCAAAACGATCGCTTGTCGAATATTTCGGTCACTGCACTGGTACTTACTGGCAACGATGATCCTCATAGATGCTTCCGCCTCCGCCCTGTTATCGGTGGGTGTCAAAGTACACTTGAACATTCCGTCGTGGCTCTCCTTGATCTTGGCAATGTTAACTCCGCATTGGCCCACCTCGGTGCCCTCGCCGTAATATTCGATACCATCTTCGGGCAGTTGTCCTTTGGATAAAACTAGGCCGCCACCCTCGCCAGGTATCTCGACGCGGCAAACTTGAAGAGGTCTACCGACTCTGCACAAAATTTGCAAACTCTCCCCGAGCCGTACCGCGGTCTGTCGTTTAGGTTCGATGTCCACGACCAGGGTCGACTTCGATCCTGAAACAACAAAGAACAAAATAACATCTCCATTCGAGAGCAAAGGTACTCGGTTTCGGCAATTTTGCAGTTAATGAAATGTTTCATTTTGGAACGCAGAAACTTGTAATCGTTATTTTCAAACTCGGTAAACATTATGAATAAGTACATTTTACATAGTGAATTTTTAAACTCGATTGTCTCGAAAATTATATTTTTTATATTTGTTTAACACCTACCGCGACCGGTCAAATGCTCGATTTTTTAATTTTGTTTAGAATTTCTAACACAAAATATTATTTACTTTTATTAATTTCTTATATTATACGTACAATGAATTTTACAATATTCACTTCTATTCTTATTGTTTGTTTTCTGAGAAAAATATGTAGTCAAAACTGCCCTTGAACCAAACTGATCAGTGAACATATCAGTTAATAGACCATTCAAAGAAAACCATTTGTGTCAAATATCAACCCCGTACCCTTACTGAGATGGTAGTTACAGGGCGTAACGCAATTTTCAGTTTAAGCTGTATATCTTTTGTTGTATTGTATCAAAGATTTTGAAAAAAAATTGGGGGTATTTTGCTCTACGGCGTACGTGTTTGTGAATTTTTTCAGAATTTTTCACCGCAAAATGAATTTTTAAAAAATTCGAAAAGTATACAAATATTTTTTTTTAATAGAAATTATTAAATGACCACGTTTATATTTTTACAGTGTTAGTGTCTTGCTATGATTATTAATCTATAATTTTTTCAGATTTTTAGAAATGGGGGAGCGATGTTGGAAAAATCAAAAACCGACATTTGCTTGTATTTGTTAAGAAAAAGGACGAGATTATTTCTCAGGCACTGGATACATGTACTTTCATTGCCTGCTGAGAATGTTCGAGTTACAAATGTTTGATTTTGTCTCGAATGTTTCGTTGCGACGAGCGACCGTCGCATTACATATTTTCATGTCCAACGGAACGTTTGTGTACAGCCATAGTCTTGCTCTTATATAAATTCATATTTTGTTCGTTTTGTGTCTAAGTTTGTTATTTTATATCCTGACCTCATCAACAGTATTTTTACCTTAATTTTTGTTGTGACCATGTTCGTATTGTTACAATTTTACTAACTTGTTACTGTTATAAATATATAATTTTTTGAGATTTTTTGTGGAGGTGTATCACATACAAAATAATTATAAATCGATATTTCCTAAGTTTTCGTTCGCAGAGGAGTAATATTCGGGTAATTGATATTTTTACTTCATCGAATGATCATTATATACATGCTCAAAATAGTTTTACATTTATGAATTAAGAGAATTGCAGCTATTGTTTTATTAGAATTTCTCATTAGAATTTCTCAGAATATGACTCATAAAAGATTAAGTATTCATTAATGTCATTCATTGATGTCTTTTTCGACATTCCTAAGGTTTTAAGTTTTATATTATTTGATACATGTAAAACTATTTTGAGCATGCATATAATGATCATTCGATGAAGTAAAAATATCAATTACCCGAATATATTACTCCTCGGCGAACGAAAACTTAGGAAATATCGATTTATAATTATTTTGTATGTGATACACCTCCACAAAAAATCTCAAAAAATTATATTTATAATATTTATAACAGTAACAAGCTATTAAAATTGTAACAATACAAATATGGTCACAACAAAAATTAAGGTAAAAATACAAGCAAATGTCGGTTTTTGATTTTTCCAACATCGCTCCCCCATTTCTAAAAATCTGAAAAAATTATAGATTCATAATCATAACAAGACACTACCACTGTAAAAATATAAACGTGGTCATTTAATAATTTCTATTACAAAAAAATATTTTTATACTTTTCGAATTTTTTAAAAATTCATTTTGCGGTGAAAAATTCTGAAAAAATTCACAAACACGTACGCCGTAGAGCAAAATACCCCCAATTTTTTTCAAAATCTTTGATACAATACAACAAAAGATATACAGCTTAAACTGAAAATTGCTTTACGCCCTGTAACTACCCTCTCAGTAAGGGTACAGGGTTGATATTTGACACAGATGGTTTTCTTTGAATGGTCTATTAACTGATATGTTCACTGATCAGTTTGGCTCAAGGGCATTTTTGACCATCTTATCCGGCTATACCCTTTGGTTCTAAATTCGTTCGATATAAATAGGAAATATATGTATAGCAAAGACGAAAGGAGAGAATCTCCAGTTTCCACTGCCTTAGAACAGACTAGCAACGCGTATTAAAAATAGTTAAAATTTGGACGCGTGCAGTTCCGAAACTATCAGTGTTTTATTAATTATTGAAGCATTGTTAAAAGCAGCAAAACCTCCCCTTTAAAATGGTTTTTGGTTTTTGTCGATCCGAGTTTCCGATTCGGAGATATCGTTATGTAAAGGAACGTGTAATTTTTCAAATTCAACTAGCTCTGTCTCCATCTTACTACATGAAAGTTCATTAACCTCGTGGCGTCAACAATGGAATGTAAAGAAACGATTCGAACCCTTATATCTCCGGAACTAATAAAGCTATCGACTTGTTCGAACGCTAGTGTTAAAGGGCATTTCATCATCTATCCTATGAATGTAACAACTATTATAATTTATGCCATTTTTTATGTTTATTTTGACATTTACATTGACACTACATACCCAAAGAAATTTCAGCAATTCCTACTGATTGTACGACTAGTGTACGATAAAACTGGATCATAAATTGTTTATTTAATTGGAAATTAATTTAAAGTTAAATACAGGATGTTTGCGTAATTACTAGCCAGTACTTTTTCTTAAATAGTTGTTTTCTCTAGAACTAACTATGGTATCGATTTCTAACAAAGATCGTTTTCAAGGACGTTTTATCTTCTATCCGATGAAAATTAAAAAACTGTTTAACATAAAAGAGAAAGATATCTTGCGAATAAACATCGAAACCCAAGTTTTTATACATATAATGCAAAATTTGGAAGTACGTTTCCTCGTAAAAGAGAAAAAGAAAGACTGGTCATTTGACCGATCATGGTAGGAGTGGGTATACATGAAGTGCCGGTTGGTTCAGTGTTAATTTTGTCATGTCTAACGAAAAGATTGCAGAGAGTTAATCTCACTTCGTGCGGGCAAGCGGAATTAAATGTCAGTCGGTCAGGATTTTATAATTTTTCTTAATTCTCGCATCCGGGCGTGCTGCTTTCCGAGTTTCACGAATCCACCGCGTTCGTGGCACTAGTTCAAATAGACACTTATTGGTATTCCCTGAACCTCGGTGTGCAGATGTGGTTTCGTCATGGCGAAAATAACAAAGGTGTGGTATTTTCCTTGAGGAAGCAATTAAAAATTCTATAGAAAGTAATTGTAAATTATAGGAACGCGTACATTTCCGCGTCTTTGATCTCCGACAGGCAAAATTTTAATCTAATAATAGATAATTAGAAAGAATAACGTGTAATATTTTATTCGTGACATCTGTTCGTTAAACATTTATTTACCTTGTACTCGTTCATCGAAATGTTTATCTAGGTAAGAATTTTGCACGTCTGTTCATATTTTGAAAATTGGCAAATCATAGATAAAATGTAAGTGTATACATAATTCTAAGACCTAGAAATTATTGGCTAATTAATATCCATAGTATAATACGACCATTGTTTAAAGATTGCATAATGCCGAGCGATTATCCTCGGCCGCAATTATCGTTAATCCTGTTAACGTACAATAAGCAAGAGATTATCTCTAATAAGATTTGTATAGCGAACGGTGATTGAAAAACGTGTGTATTATTAGTTTTTCTGGCATCGGTAACGGCTCATTACCTTTCGATTCGAGTGTGCTAACGGTGTTAGTGACGTCAGTACCGTGAGAGAGTAGTGCGCCGATAATGTGACAAGGAGAGACGGCCGAAATTCAGACAGCGCCACGGATCGACCAGTAAGAGTACCACGGCGACGTCTTCGGCTGTCAATCCGGAACAGTCTTACGGCAACTTCTGAACGAGACGCATCGGCTCCCGATCATATTCGATCCGAAGTTAATCATGAGTTAAGAGGGAAGATCCTCGTGCGAGAAAGCCAAAAAGACTGCTATTTCTAAAAGGGTGTAGCGAGCCTTGCTCGAAAAGGTCGGAAAATTCATTCCCACCTTGCTTGGAAAACACGATTCGAATCCCGATTCGTGCAAGTGCACCTGAATCTCGTTCGAGAAAATCTCGATCGAGTTCAACTGATTTAAATTCACTGCAGATTTTGGAGGGCTCGAGAATACACCGATAAGGTGTTCGACCCCTCCTGTGCGGAATTTAACGGTCGATTCCAACGTATAAACGTTTGAATCATATAGAAGTCGGCGGTTACCGTCCACACTTCTGTGTGATTGCCCTTCGGCTTAGGAGACACCAAAGGGAGGCACCTACGTGGTGTACCTCCAGGTGGGCTCACTGTAGTCAGGTCGCCGTCCATTTCGGACGTCTGATTTTCGGTCTTCGCCTCCTTACTTCTACAGATCCCGCCGGTGTAACGTTTAGAGGAGCACCAGTGCGGGGAAGTAACGGAGTCGTGGGTCAGGCCCCCGCGTAGTTCAAAATACTGCAACGTATCACATCGAGTAGTGCATTCGTGCAGTGAACAACGTGTTGTCGGGCTTCGCAGTGTAACTCTCGGCCAAATAAGTCATCTGCTGGAACGTTAAGAAGCCGCGGATCGACGGTCGTGTTAGTGCACTGCAGTGCGACTCGACGCACAGACTCAGTGTGCATACTCACGGGAACAGTGCATTAGGAGCCTTACAACCTCCACTTGCATCCCCGTCCAATGGGCAATCGACCACTGAATCGGCGAAGAAAAGAAGTTTAATTCTTTTCCAAGCCCAAATACAGTCCACTGTATCATTCGTAATTTACGAACGTTTACAATTCTCCGCTCCGGTGCGTTCGAATTACGAAGCCAGGAGCGCGAGCAAACGAGCGCGACGAAGATACGTATACCGTGTACGTGTGTCTAACACATAGTCGTGTTTTTCTGTT